TACCACTGCCTATCATCCCCAGACAAATCTTACCGAACGTGTCAACAGAGTTCTCAAGACGATGCTAGCCTCCTATGTCCGAGATAATCACCGACAATGGGACTGGTGGGTTGCTGAATTTCGCTATGCCATCAATTCCGCCTGGCAGGAGAGCACAGGTCATACTCCCGCTGAGATCGCCTTAGGACGGAAGTTGAAAGGCCCATTGGAACGGTTGGTACATAAGCCTCCAAACCCTGACCATTCAGCATATAGTTTGCTAGAGCGGCAGAAAGTAATGCTTGGAAAAGTGAAGGAGAATGTCAATAGAGCTCAGGAACGACAGGCCCGATATTATGATCTCCGAAGAAGATCAGTACAATACCAACCAGGAGATTTAGTCTGGATACTCACTCGTCCGCTGTAATAGAGAGGCAGGATGTTTGAGTGATGGCTCACCGTTTGCATCCTTTGTTAGGCCAGAGATGGGAAAATGTTTTCTACTGAATCTCTGAGCCTTATGTTAAATTAAGTGTATGTTACCTGAGGTCTTGAGTCAAGTTGCTCTATTAGACTGTGTACAATAAGTTCAACCGCGAAATGCGTGTGGGAGATGCCAATGGATTAAATACAGACGGTCTGTGGATTATTCATTGACTGATTCATCGTGCCATCGCCGGTATTGGAACGTTTGGGAGAAAATTGTTGGCAACGGCCAAACAACGCTGGAAATACAGGTTTTTGTAGAACGTATTGCCTGGACTGTTTTGAAGGAACTGATTTGTACATATTATGGGGAGGGGGTGAAATGGTTGTTTATGTGTGGAGGTTGCTTGTTTGTATACACTATGGCACTTTAATATATTAGTATAAAAACTCAATGGATTGTATCCCATATTTTTATTGTGGCTTTCGTTAAACTGATGTTTGAGAGAGTTTGTTACAAGACTTTATGCTGACAGTCACACCATCAGTGACCCCAAAACAAGCCGAACCCCATCCAGAGCCTTGACCCTCAGGTGAGCAGCTGTCTTCACGGAGGCCACTAGTTCAAAAACAGATCGCAGGACTGTGAGGAGGCTGGCATCAGATGAAAGTAATTACCAGAGATAAATATACTGAGAGGGGAGGGATTACAAACGGACACGGGGACTAAGTTTAGTGTTCTGAGCTGCCGGAACGGTGACACGTCGTCCAGTGTTAGCATACAGCAAACAAACAACTTCTAAAAGCACCTCATCCAGCGTTTGTGAACACATCTACCCTGTTTTAAAAGTAAACTGTCTGGAAAATGGCCAGGTCGTATTTTACCACATTTTTAAAATACAAAAGCAATGCAAAAAAACAAAAAAACAATTAGACAGATTTAAGCACATTAATAACAAGTAAGCATATTCCTAGTTTCTCTACATCATGGTATTTACTTTAATAATGCTGATTTAAATTTACAAATCCTTGTACTTTTCATGTCAGTCCTGTGTCTTGTGTTTTTCCTCCCTCACGTGCTCCATGTCCCAGTTTTCCCATGTTGATTGTTTCCAATTCGATTCCAGGTGTCTCGTCTTCCCCTGATTAAGTTGTATATAAAGTGTGTTCTGCCCCTTGTTTCTCGTCCGGTATTGAATGTCATCTTTCCCCGCTACGTGTGTGTTCCTGGTTCCCTTGATGTCATTAAAGTCTCTTTGATTGAAGTATACTCCACGTCTCCTCATTCCTCGCTCCCTCACAATAGCGAATGTGACAGAATACCGGACCGAAACCGCAAGTAAGCGGCGCCCTCTTCTCCCCGTGTTTTTTTCTCCTGTTTTTGAAGGTGTTTTGTTTTCCGTTTTTTTTCCCCACGCGATTATGGAGATCGCTGCTCGATTCTCCGCCCTAGCCCGCAGAGATCTCCCCTTCTTTGAGTATGCCTGGGAATTCTGCGGGCTCGCTGCGGCAACGGCGTTGGACGCCACCATCAACTCGCTGTTCTGAATCGGGGCAAATTACTACCGTCCCGTTGACCTCCCAGACTCCACAGGACTAAGCTGGAGGGAAGGGTCTAAGCTCCGGCCGTATAGCCAAGGCCATGGAGGCTGATCCGCCATGGCCTCCTGAGTTCCCTGCTCCGCCAAGGTTTCCTAGTCTGCCTGCTCCACCATGGCGCCCTGAACTGCCTGATCCGCCATGGGTCCCGGAATGGGTACCGCTCTGGAGGCCTGCCGTCCAGTGTAAGCCAGTCCTGAGGGGCTCACTCACAGTAGCGAATGTGACACATAACTTATCCGGCAATTTTTATACTATAATACTAACACATTGTGTGTAATACTTCACAAATGTAAAATATCCAACCCATACAGCAAAAAATATATTTTCAAATAGATTTGAGAATGTATATATATATATATATATATATATATATATTTTTTTTTTTTAAGTATATTTTGCCCAAAATATTCATTCATTCATTCCTGCCATATGGAAGTGTTTAATTTTCACTGGGTAACATAAGAAAATTACTCAAAATTTAAATCATAATCCAGCCTTTTATCAAGACTTTTCTTATTAGTAGTGTTTACTAATTCAAGCATTACCAGTCCAGCACTATTGTTCATAGTTAGTAACTTGAACAATCCCCTAAACCTAACTTGAAAAATCGTGGTGTGTAACATCCAGAAAGACCTCTGAGTGTCAGAAATGTGTCAGTAGAACAAAGCCTCTCTGTTTTCTAAAAATACTCCATCAAATAAAAGAGCTTGATACGGAGCAGTTCACTGTGCTAGAATACGACCTACAAATACTCAGCTGCCAAATGTCCTGGGAAACAGAAGATGTGTGGAAGGCATGTGTGATTGGAGAGAGGCCTGTGATACTATGATAGTCATCTAGAATGTGATAAACCGTGTATGGTATTTAAGTGTTTAAACCGCTCCGGGGTCAATGAGGTTACACAACAACACAGTCTGAGAGAAGAAGTAGCTTGCATAGGAAACACTCACTCGGCTGCTGCGGTCGTTCGGGCCAGTGTTGGGCTGAGCCGCAGCCCTGTGACCCCCGTGACCCCTGTGACCGAAGGGGTCAGAGAAACCCCCCATCATCTGCTGCATGCGCTCATGATGCAGCTGGAACGGGTCGCTAAAGGAGAAGATCAGAAAACAATACGATGTATAACAAACATTATTGTGTTTGTAATATAGCTCTGATTGTTAGTGACAGTGCTTCTCAACCATTTATTCTGTTCAGATGAGTTGACATGAACAAAACTACACAAGACACAATAAAGAAAATATGACCCAGACTACATTAAATACAGATTGGCTTGCGGTGAGGATAAGCATGATTTGTGTGTGTTGGGAATCATCTCAATCAGTCTGTGTCATACTCATAGGTTTCCATACTGTTGGGCCAGTGTAGCTCATGATAATGTTATACACTTTAAGGACATTTTGTTACTTTTGTATGATAAACAGTGGCTGTGTTGAACAGCTGAGAAGCACTGCTCTGCATGCATTGAGAACAGCAGAAGTGCCTACCTTGATGAGCAACTTAAGAACAGAAAGAAGTGAGACAAGAAACTTCATTACACTTTCTAAATGACAGCATAACATGACGAAGCACACTGACCAGTGCATTCATCTCTACAGTTAGTGACTATACAGTGATGAAGACTCTGAGTGAAAGCTGACACTCATGCATGAAAGTTGAAACAGCCCAATACTTTATGTGTATAAGCTGAATAAATAATAAGCTCTCCATTGATGTATGGTTTGTTAGGATAGGACAATATTTGAAAATCTGGAATCTGAGGGTGCAAAAAAATCTAAATATTGAGAAAATCATCTTTAAAGTTGTTCAAATGAAGTTCTTAGCAATGCATATTACTAATCAAACATTAAGTTTTAATATATTTACGGTAGGAAATTTACAAAATATCTTCATGAAACATGATCTTTACTTAATATCCTAATGGTTTTGGCATAAAAGAGAAATGTATAATTGTGACCCATACAATGTATTGTTGGCTATTGCTACAAATATCCCCCAGCGACTCAACACTGCTTTTGTGCTGCAGGGACACATATGTGAGTCTGCATGGACATGATTAAGAGCTTGTGCAGTAACACAGCAAGTGAACATAAATCAATAAATGCAATAACAATAAATTAGATTTATTTATTGCACTAATAACAGCAAACAGTGTTGAAGACTTACAATCCCGTATGGAAATGCAATATATCACATATATTGCCCTCAAGTGTACCGATATACCTATATATCGATATATAATTTTCACAAATGTACATTCTCAATTTTATTAAAACAAAAAATATATACAAAAATCTTTGCGTTTTGTCTATTTATCTAATTTAAAAAGAAAACGTATGTTTATATTTACTTATAACATAATATCATCATGCATCGATGGGTTTTAGGATGAATATACATGTACATGTGCGAAAATAATATACCATTTGTAGAGGCTAGATGTTAATATATGAAATTGTTTCAATTTGTAATAAGTTTCAAGTAGGCATATGTTTTTACTTCATATATGTCGTGTTAATTTAACAGGCATTTGCCTTTAGGGATGTCGGTTAACGAAACCAAATTAATGATAATAATATAAAATAAAAAATACCACAGAATAAAATGAAATACTAATTCAATAAAACCTTAATGTGCTTTGAATCATAACATTTTGAAATATGACGCACTAAAGGTAATTTACAAATAGCTCATACACTGATATGTTACAGAGCTAGTTTAATAAGGCTGTCTTTTGAGCGTTCTGCAGTTAGTTTAGTGTAAAAGTGTGTGAGACTCACGCAAAGAAGGGCTCGTCTTGTTGCTGTCTGAGCATCGCGCTGCGCTTCTGAAGGACGCACGCGCTGCACTTACTGTCGGAACCCCACACACAGTGCACACGTGACCAGCTTTGAGCGTTTTGATTGGCTGAACACTGACGCGTTGGCCCCGCCTCTCTTGTGCAGGTGTGGTGTACTGTGTTGTCGTGGAAAGTGTTCTCATTATCTAGAAACTTCCACATGTTTATCTCACATTTATTCCAGCATTCTGTGTTCACTGTCACTGCAATATGCGCAATGGTTTCTCCAGCATACAGTTTTACTGTTATACTTTCACTGTGCAGTGTAATTTAGCCTGTGTGTGTACAGGCTATCATAATGTCAGAGATACTGTATACTGTAACTGTGATCTGTAAAGGCACCGTTCAGACAAAGTGCTCATGAAATAGAGTTATAACATTATATCTGTCAGTGTTGGGAAGGTTAGTTTGGAAATGTAATTATAGCCTATAGGTTACAGATGACAAGTTACTCTATTTAAAGTGATGGTGTCATATAGTGTCACTATTTCAGTTACTTTATTAAAGTAAAGTAACTGATTACATTTGACTACTTTTCTAAATTTGTAATGTTTTCAACTGTTGACCATTTTGAAACAAGTAAAGCAGGCAGGGTTAATCATATACAGTAGAGCTCAACACTGATTACTGTCACTTTCGAAATCCTTCATCACTTGAATTAAGATTATAATGATTTATTTTTAATGCACAATACGGAAGGCACAGCCACCAAAAAAGCAGAACTTACTTTGAGATCATTCTGGGGTAAAATACAGGTCGTAAAATCATTCTGGGATTAAATACAGGTCATGAAATCAGGGTTAAATACCGGTCATAAAATCATTCTGGGGTAAAATACAGGTCGTAAAATCATTCTGGGATTAAATACAGGTCATGAAATCAGGGTTAAATACCGGTCATAAAATCATTCTGGGGTAAAATACAGGTCGTAAAATCATTCTGGGGTTAAATACAGGTCATAAAATAATTCTGGTGTTAAATACAGGTCGTAAAATCCTTCTGGGGTTAAATACAGGTCATAAAATAATTCTGGTGTTAAATACAGGTCGTAAAATCCTTCTGGGGTTAAATACAGGTCATAATATCAGGGTTAAAAACAGGTCATAAAATAATTCTGGGGTTAAATACAGGTCATAAAATCAGGGT